ATATATATATATATATTTCACACTCCAGAATCCCCACCTGTAGAAACGTATTGCATGAATGCTTTCATACTTTTAGTAGTGTTGTAAGTAGTACGGGTGTGTTTCCTTGGAGGAGTAATACTCACAAGACTGCTGAAAACGTGTTTCCTCACGAAAATATACTACGTTATCTCCAATATCAAACGAAGTGATACATGAGACGCGAGGTTGACAGCACACTCAGTTGAAGTGTATTATAAACGACAAATTATGTTGGGATTCCGAAGTACTCCGTATAAATCAAGGTAATTTGCAAATGAACATATCTGGCGTGGTATGAATGTTATTAGCGATAATCAAGACGGTTCTGGTGATCAGTGACACCTCCTGATTGTCGTGATTCTTTATTCAGTGGGAGCTTGTGGATGCAGAAATGGTTTATTTAAGGCAACCGGAAGGTCTCTTCTTCACACGCTAATTCGAATAGCTCAGCGAAGCCACTGGTCGAAATATCGATGGTTCGAACGCAATCTTGCCTTCTTGACTGATCCCGTTCAAGGTTGAGCAATATGACACTATCTCAGCGTTCGCGCTTACTTTGAGTTGCACGGCAGCTATTGACCAATAGGGTTCCACAGCTGAACGATTATTTCTTTCTTAAAAACTGTAGAACTACAACTCAAATAAGGTCTCGGGGTGCAGGACCAAAAAAAATTTAGTGTGACAAGCAAAAAAGTCAAGCTTAAACTGAACAAGCTTAGACCAGGAGACCTATTACATTAGGGAGCTGCACGCTAGCTAACTTTAACGCTACTACATTCAAAGTGACCCCATCAATGTGAGTGAAAACTGTTCGTCAGCTGTTAGAATGCCCACACCTATCGCAACGTTTCCAATCAAAACTTGCGGAATCACGATCACTAGAACTGGATGTCAGACACTAACTGGATTCCAGAGAGTCTATTCCCCACACCATATGAATCCTGATACCTTGAAGACAGACATCTGCAAGATGTCAACTCGGTCCTCCATAGTGGCATCTTTGGTTCGAGATGAACACTAGTCAGAGTGTAAATTCATCAGTGTCGCAGCCTAAGAGTACCTCGTGGGACTGACTGTGATAGCCACTCACGCCCCGAGGTCCATATTAAACCTAATCATCGAAGTGTTTTAGGAAGAAACAGTGATCAAAATACAACAGAAAATAAAGCATCTGGCAAGATCGAGCAAATGAGGCACCCCAGATGGCTGATGAGATGAGGTCGAACGTAAACATACTGGATCAATTTGAGGCACTGCCCAAAAAACGGCGGTGACTACTGAATTTCGCCACCCTCAAGTTCGTCGCTAAAAAGGCTAATTCAGCACTCAAAACAACCCCTTACTCACGTAGTACTCGGATGAGTTACACGTTTTATTCCGTTGAGTGCACACAAGTGCTGAAACTAGAAGCGCCGGAAGCAAAGATCACAAAGTTGCGTCAAATAGGGTCAGACCCCAACTCACTGCTGCATGAAAGGGGTGCCCTGTTAGGCATATCGACAATGAAACGGCCAGTGTCGACGCCGAAGATCTAACAGAACGGGCCACTAGAGATCAGCTAGTATATACTCGAAGGTATCAGAATGATGGGGTATCTCAGGATAGCGTGAGTTTATCTAAGGCAACAAGCTTGTTCAAAGCTGATATGCTGTTGTGAAGAGTCACCGACGAAGCTATTCTAAACTAGTCGGGCAACAACATGGAAATCTCGTTTGGCAAATGTTTTGCCTCAAAAGTATGGTACTATAGAAACTCCTAAGTTTGAAGCATGTACTGAGACATATGGATTTCCGACTGCATACTAGATGGACCCTTGGACGCAGTGACTGAAGCAGCTACCGGACCACACATTAACAGAGGTCCGGGACCTCTAGATTGACCCTAACTCAGCAGGCTGAAGTACTGTTGTAACTGTATTTTCCTCAGCTTAGTTCTCGGTCTGAGCCTCCCAAACACCAAAGGTGCACAAGGTCTATTAACGCCCAAAACGAAATCAGGAACAGTTGTACAGCGCTTCGTATATATAGGGTAAGCGGCTATAACTTTCTGGAATTTCTGACGCGTTCTGGAGCTCCATTGGCAACCGGCATTTGGCCAATACTGGGTC